GGACCCTAAGTCGGATTGGTTCCACTGTGCGCGGCTAAAACTGTCCAAAAAACGCTTAGTTGTGGAACGACGGACGTCGAGGTGATACGGATGGAATTTCGTATTATGCCTCGGTCCGATGATGAAACTCAGCTACAGGTATTAATCCGAACAACTCCTCTGATCTCTCTGTGATAAATGCGGTAGAAGATGAAGAGAGACCTTTGAGATTGCTGATATGTTTATCATTGCTGAACTCTATTACGAATTAGTGTTATTTTGATTATTGAAATTAACTTCAATATAACAACAATTATACATTACGTCTTTGACACATAGCACTCATTCTTAGAATAAATCTTACGAGTGGTATTTTTTGTTATGAAAAAACAATTCGGAATGTTTTAAAAACTTGAACAAATTAAAACACTCCTAACATTGTAAAATGACTCGCAGATGCCATTTGTGAGACCCATTGACATTTTAATGTTCAGAAACCTCAAACATCTACGCCAATTAAAATAGTTTGGTAATTTTTTGTGGCGCTTGGTGACGGATGCCGAAATTTGGGTCAGGAATCAGGATTCATTTGGTTTTAGCCGTGTTTCTTGTTGATGCTAGTGTATAGTTAATATTAGTCCAGCGAGACCGCAGGAATCCTATATTAAATTAAACTCACTCTTTTAACAACAGTTCTCTTTTGTCTCTTACTGCCAAATTTTTAGGCTGTCATAAAGAGAGATGAGTGTTTAAGTTAGTCTACAGAAATGTGAACAATCAGGACTTGTAACTGAGGTTATTAGTCAAGGGAGACCGCAGCAATCTAAGCCCATATTAATTTAAAATCACTCTTTGAACAACAGTTCTCTTTTGGTTGTTTAAGGCTGCCATAAAGAGAGATAAGTATCTCAGTTAGTGTATAATTGTAACATTTGTTTCACATACTAAACTATATGATCGCTCATTTGTATGTTATTGATAATTAAGTCACTTACAAGCGTCATTAGGCCGAATGAACGAACGTCTATATGATTGAACATAAGTTCATAACCGACCCCACATTAGGTCGGGAATAAATCAATGTTATGGGAAAACGTCGAGGTATGTCGACCGTTTCTTTAGCGCCATATATGCTAAGCAAATAACCGTTGAACGAGTTTATACTATATTGGTACAATACAAAGGTCGTACGGGAATACATTGGTACTTGCTGTACGCAACGAAATTTAAATAAGCAAGACTTTAATTTTAATTAAAAATATGAAACAAAAAAAAAAAAAAAAAAAAAGAAAAAAAAAACAAAAAGGGGGGGGGGGGGGGGGGGGGGGGGGGGGGGGGGGGGAGGGGGGGGGGGGGGGGGGGGGGGGGGGGGGGGGGAGGGGGGGGGGAAGGGGGGGGGGGGGGGGGGGGGGGGGGGGGGGGGGGGGGGGGGGGAGAGGGGGGGGGGGGGGGGGGGGGGGGGGGGGGGGGGGGGGGGGGGGGGGGGGGGGGGGGGAAAAAAAAAAAGGAAGGAAGGGGGGGGGGGGGGGGGGGGGGGGGGGGGGGGGAAAAAAAAAAGGGGGGGGGGGGGAGGGGGGGGAAGGGGGGGGGGGGGGGGAGGGGGGGGGGGGGGGGGGGGGGGGGGGGGGAACCCCGGGGGGGGGGGGGGAAAAAAAAGGGGGGGGGGGGGGGGAAAAAAAAAGGAAGGGGGGGAAGGGGGGGGGGGGGGGGGGGGAAGGGGGGGAAAAAAAAAAAAAAGGAGGGGGGGGGGGGGGGGGAAAGAAAAGGGGAAACGGAGGCACCCCAAAAAAAAAAAAAAAAAAAAAAAAAAGGGGGGCCCCCCAAAAAAAAACCAGAGGGGAAGGGGGAAAAGGGGAAAAAGGGGGGGGGGAAAAAGGGGGGGGGGGGGGGGGGGGGGGGGGGAAAAAGGGGGGGGGGGGGGGGGGGGGGGGGGGGGGGGGGGGGGGGAAAAAAAAAGGGGGGGGAAAAAGGGGGGGGGGGGGGGGGGGGGGGAAAAAAGGGGGGGGGGGAGGGGGGGGGGGGGGGGGGGGGGGGGGGGGGGGGGGGGGGGGGGGGGGAGGGGGGGGGAAGAAAGGGGGGGGGGGGGGGGGGGGGGGGGGGAAGGGGGGGGGGGGAAAGGGGGGGGGGGGGGGGGGGGGGGGGGGGGGGGGGGGGGGGGGGGGGAGGGGGGGGGGGAGGGGGGGGGGGGGGGGGGGGGGGGGGGGGGGGGGGGGGGGGGGGGGGGGGGGGGGGGGGGGGGGGGGGGGGGGGGGGGGGGGGGGGGGGGGGGGGGGGGGGGGGGGGGGGGGGGGGGGGGGGGGGGGGGGGGGGGGGGGGGGGGGGGGGGGGGGGGGGGCCCCCGGGGGGGGGGGGGAGAAAAAAAAAAAAAAAACCCCCCGGGGGGGGGGGGGGGGGGGGGGGGGGGCAACCCCAAAAACCCCCCCCCGGGCCCCCCCCCCCGGGGGGGGGGGGGGGGGCGAAAGGGGGGGGGGGGGGGGGGGGGGGGGGGGGGGGGGGGCGCAAAAGGAAAAAGGGGGGAAAAAAAAAAAAAAAAGGGGGGGGGAAAAAACCCCCCCGGGGGGGCGCAAAAAAGGGGGGGGGGGGGGGGGGGGGGGGGGGGGGGGGGGGGGGAATAGCTTTTTATAGAATTTCATTAAATTATTCAATAGTTGCCTTAGATGCAACGATTATATCATCAAATTTTCGATACCATTTTGTCTTTAGCCTTAAAATAGGCTTCAGTTTCGGTGATTACCTCTTCATCAGCGCAAAATTCTGTCCAGCGTCCATTCTTGAAGTCTAAAGTATTATGGCAAATTATCGCAAAAGAGCCTACGAGCCCAAAAGGGACTGTCATGGCAGCCCATGGTCACTCATTTTATTAGCGTTGCCGGCCTATGAAATGAAACTTGTTATTTATACCGGAAGTACTGTACAATACTTTTCTTATATTCGTTCGTTATTTTAAAAACGTACGGGAATTCCTTCATATCCGTATAAATCTATGGAAATGCGAGGTTTTGCATTTCGCCAACCCTTTTGTGGGCCATAGGGCCAAACAAATCGGTTATTTTTAATGATTCAAAAGCATTTGTAGGGTAACAAGCACGCCCGTTGCATTTGTCATGTATAAGGGTAATTGTTTGACATGCAAAGCGTCGAGATCAAGCAGTCTGATGAGGGATTCATGGCAACGAAATCGCGTTTTAGCGAAATAAACCTTATTCCATTGGTTCAAGGCCGTATTTTAAATGTCTGCCACTTTTTCATGCGAATTTATACCGTAATTTTAGAAGAAAAGGGTACACATTTGATTATACATTTATATTTCGATATACTTGATAGTTTTCGTTTATTCGAACTTGTAACCCTCTGTTATAGGAAGCTGGTGAACAATCGAAGCTCGGATAATGAATAATTCATTTGTTAATTGTGAATTTTCCTTCACTCGCTAGTACTTCAGCTTATCGGAGAACTTGAAATCTTTTGCTTTGCAACACAGATTGGTTCTGTCTGGATCTAGATATTAAAAAAAAGAACAGTTTTATTAAAATCAAATTCGAATTTCGAATCACAATGCTTAAGACCCATGCCTGAATTTACATCTTGCAGTAATGATTTGAAAATAGAACGGTTTAAAAAAGTCGAATTCGAATTAGGAATATATTATTTACTTATGGACGTAACCTGTGCCAAAAATCACATCGAACTTGCTCCAACGACTTGAAAAAAGAATAGCAAAGTGATTTTTTTATTTTTTTTAACACAATTGCCTAAACGTCGAACTATCTAACGATTTGAAAAAAGAACACTGAGTCAATTTTAAATTCCGAACGTCATAATCGCCGAGTGTCTATGATGTCTGAACGTAGACTCCTAGTCAATAGCTACCCTGGTACTAAACAAAATTCGTTTATGAATTGTTAATACAAAAATGTCAACTAATTAAATTTTATGATTTAAATATTTTATATGAGTTGTTACTGGAGAATATAAAACTAATATCTAAGCCACATGCACCAACATTCCCCTTAAAGGAATTGCCGCTCAAAATTTATAAGAAAAAAGGCACTTTGTTCGCACTTCACACAATGCATGTTCTTTGTAATAAATTTAACCGCATCACGTCATGCCGAAAACCTATTCATTACGTTGCATCCAGTCCATTCGTCGTATGGTTCAAATTTTTTGTCCATCATCTAATCGACAAGCTTTTATGGCACCTCGGCGCGGGCGCAAAAAGCTAAAGCGAGGGTCGAGCGGGCTGTGTCGCTAGTGTTAGTCGTTATTACAGTAGATACAATTCTACCTCTAATTTCAGTATATACAGTAGATATGTTAACACTAGATTAGATATGAGTATTAAATAAATAAATAAATGAAATTGGCTAAAACAAATTAAATAGATAAAAAATCAGTGGCGCTACAAACTTTTTAGGTCTGGACACCAGATTTCTTTTATGATGATTTGTCAATTTAATAGGCAAGTAGATGATCAGCTTTCTATACCTGACATAGGCCATCGACTTTTTGGGTCTAAGGCAAGCCGGTCACCTCACAATGTTTTATATATTTTATAACACACCGATAATATAATAAACTATGTAAAAATTACGAAGTAAAAATCATTTAAAAAAAGTATAAGGCGTCGATCGGCCAGTATTAAAAGGAATAGCCGCTGATCCGATTGTGTATATGTATCTTCTAAATATATGAAAATCCATATGAAATCTGCTTATACGTTGCTTTCTTTCAATAAAAAAACAAATTCATAACTCAATAGTTCAATAACATCAAATCTACTGTATTCCAACATATCTACTGTAATTCGGGTGAACCCTCGCGACTCGTTCACGATTCGACCTCAGTCCGTCGCGTTATCTCACGGAGGGAGGTCGTTCAGCATTTTCTAAACAAATCTCGTTACAGAATCGATGTATACGAATTAGTAAAAATGTCGAGGAACGTTAAAGTGTCGTGATGTAAGTGATAAGATTGTGAATGGGCTATCAAGCCTTAGTTGTGAAGTGAAATAAGCCAAGATGACGATGAAATCGCTGAAGTACAGTGAACGGGATGATATGATGGATGGCTTTAGTCCTGTGCCTCCACCGCTGCCAAGGCGTCAGCCAGTTAGGAACATTTATGCAGAACCGTTCGTGGATCCGAGGTAAGCATAGATTAAAGAGAAAAGTTTTAAGAGCTTTATTATTGCCTTATAAGTATTTAATGCAACTTAAAACTTATCTTTCGATTCTTTCCCTAGTTCTGACTCTTTTACGTCATAAATGCAGACTTTCGATTATTTCTAAATTTCACCTGAAAAATACTCGATAAATTGAATAAATTTAAAGTCCCTAGGTGATTTTGAGTTAAAGGAATCGTATCTTTCTAGCCAACATGAGATAATTTGAAGTCCAAGCTTCCCTACTCTCTATAGGTACTTACCTATAATCTCTATAATCATAAACAGTCAATTGTTTTTTAAAATTATTTGGACAATGAACTGAAGACGCTTACTCAAGAAAAGATTACGGACTTTTCTAAACATAAATTTTATATAATTGTTTTAATAGTTATACATAATAATAATATATAAATAAATCGCGAATTTTGATTAAACTCGTTACTTGAGTTACGGAGTTAAAAGTTAAGGACTTATTTAAAATTTATTTGAAATTTATCTCTGGTCCATTGAGTTGCAAATTATCTATAGTCGACTGTATTAGATTTTGAAATAAGATTTAATTCGCCCATAGTTTCGACTCTTAATCTAACCCAAAGTGATTTTAGTGTAATTGTAAATATTACTAAGAAATTTTAGATTATAACCTAGAACTGGCATTAGGAAAATTGTCTAACAAAATCTTTGAAAGAAAGGAAAGGCCGCAACTATTTCCGATATTAGAACAATTTTATTTACTACAAAATTTTCGGTTTGTGTTATGCCCTATTCCCTCTGTATAACCCAAAATCGATGATACCTTTGTGGATAATGTTACGTTCGTATCAAACAGGGAATGATGTAGGTACTCACAAAAAATAGTGATTAAACTCAAATAATATTTTTTTAAATCCCGTATCCCGATCCCGTAAATCCCGACAAGAACATAAAATTTCTTTGATTTTCTTATATGGGGATTACGTCGACAGTAATTATTTACTTTTATAGACATATTACCCTCACATTGTCTATGCTTGAAAACTAAATGCATTTTCGAGGATTCCTACAAAAAATTAATACGTTTACGTACTAATATTTTTGAGGGCTTTGCTTACTTTTGCTGTCAAGAGGAAGGGGGGGATGGGAAAAATTGCAGTAAATCTGCTTACGTAATACATGAACGGCCCCTGAAACATAACCAATCACACAAATAAATCGATAAAATGTCTAAAATATCCAACAACTTCCTAGAAACCTTATTAGAGGAAAACTTTACATTTATAGTGAAATGATTACAACCCCAGCTACCCCACAACGCGCTCAAAGTAATAAACTCCCTGAAGCCAAAAAAACACTTCATATCGACTATAACATGCGGAAACCCCACAACTCTCTATAGACCATAGCATTATTAAAGGTACACGAAACTAATTTAGCGAATTCGAGATATCCTTTGGGGCTCGGAAAGTAGCATTCTTGGGCTTACAAACAAATACAAAATCATATTAACTCTCGATTTACTTGAACCCAATTGGATTGGTTCGAACCTTGTGTTTTTGTATATAAGTTAAATAATCTTTAATAACGGATATAAACGCGAGATTGTTATCTATTAATTTATACGTTACATTACAAATAAAAACAAGAAACTCCCAGGCAACCTTTGTAAGGTAAAGAACTAAAAACAAGAACCACTAAGGGTAAATTCCATAACCAATTTAAATAAAATACAACTGAAAAATTATACAATGGTATTTGTATTAATCTAAAAGATAATAAAACTAAACGAAAATCCAATCTTACAGTTCATGAATCACAATTTAAAATACAATACAAAAGAATAAAAAAATACATCAATTACAAAAGTCACGATTGAACAGGATATGGTTAAGAGGTTTCTGTTGATAGTTTTTGTCGTGTTACTGTGACCTCTGACTAGTAGTCCATAGTCGCTATATGTATGTATCTAAGTATAGTTAATGGTAAGAGATTCAAGTAAGGTCACCCGGGGCGAAAGCAACTATGGAGGGGCTAAAGTGACTAATTGATTTTATTCACAATTTAATGATTTTTGTAAAACGTGCCATCTGTTGAGAGTAGAGCAATTATTATTTTTTTTTTATAAGTCAGATGGAGCTTTTAAGTCGCTAACTGTTGTACTGACAGAGCATTTTTTGACTACCGCCATTTTGGAGCAAAGTTTTGCGGGCCGTCTGTTTAGTTTTGTGCCATAAAAAATATTTCACGTTATTTCCAGCCAAATTGAAGGTTCATCCTAATATAAAGATAAAACGTAGTGCTTTTGGTATATTTGGTTAAAGGCTAAGCCTTTTAATTAACATTTCATTGACATAGTTACATTAACCTCAAATTTTGTGGATGGGTAATTGCAACTATTTTTGCAGCTGCAATAGCCCCATTGTATTTGTAGGAAAAATCAAATCACTAGTGAAGTTCCGTGTCGATATTTCAACAAGTGAAGTTCACTATCTATTTGCATAAAATATTTACCTTGGTATCTGTGACGTATTTTTTTAAACTTATAAATTGTTTTTGTTAATAATTTAATTGAATTTATTTACATAGAAAACTTAATAATACGTGTTATTGAAAGGCAGATTAGGCGTGCACAAAATACATTCAAACTATAAAACTATGAAAGCCTTTACATAAAGTTACGATTTTGTTAATCTGCAGAGACAGAACGATACTTACGCATCTGCCCAGTGAATCTCTCAATTCAGAAATTGGCAGTAAGAATTACTGACTGATCAATATTATCCTAGGTTTAATGATTACTCACATAATGTGGCATTATTAAATGCCAATATTATTAAGTCAGCTAGACATTAAAAAAATGTTGATGTTAATTCCCAAAAATACTTTAGCAAGACTGCGTTTTTGTACTTACTTTCATGTTATATATTATACTTACTGTCCTTAGATGTTTATTTGATTATAAAAAATGTTAAAACCTTTTACTATGAAGATTTATTTTTTAATGAATCGCATTTTAATCTCCTTTTACCTTAAATCAGACTAATAATTTTTCGGTCCTTTCATCGAATTTTTTTTTCACGAAGATTTATCGATAAATTTAGTAGTACGTATCTGTCCAACACTAGCAAGTATGGGAGGCAGTCGCATTCGCCCCATAAAAAGTTTAAATTATTTTTTCTGGAAACTGAGCCTTATTCCCAGCACCTAGATACCAATTTCAGAACCTGTAGTGTGAAACTATATATACCCTTATTCCAAACGTATAGATTACGATTACAACAAGGTCATTTAACTGATAGTTGCATTAGCCTCAAGGTGGGGTAAATGTAACTTTTAGTGCTCTTATTCAACAAGAATGTAAATTATTCAATAACGCCACGTTTATGTCGGAACTATTCAATGAAAGGCATGGAATAAAGTAAGTTCATTTAAACAACCATCATAATTAGGTAGCTAATGGTAGAGGACGACAAAGTACCAATTTATAAATTTTTAGTTGCTTTCGCGGGTCACCTTAAGTACTGTTCAGTTTAATAAGTTCAAAATAAATATCTAGTACCCTCATTTATTAATTCAAGTGCAAAGGTTTGCTCCGTCACAAAAGTAGGGGTATGGGACTGGAATCACTGCAAGCATTTTTCTACTCAGCACCAGCTGATACCCAGTCAAACCTCGGGTAGTTCAAAACAATAAAGCGTCGTTCGTGACAACGTAGGAACAGGACACGAGTGAATTTCTTCCCTCCCTTTTATCTGTAATTCTTCACTGCTGGTATTAAGACTATTTTATCATTATTTCACACGACTTTGGGCTCGTTTCAATTCTTTCAGTAAATTAATGAAGGCAGTTCAAATCATTAATATTTGTACATCATCCAATAAATTGCAATCGCATGAATTAATGTTGTATGTCTACAATGTATTGAAGATGTCAGACGCTCTGACATTAATGATTGCGGTGGAAATAGAGGAACGGATGCACAGACAATCATAAATCATAGAATACAAACGCAATAGTAAACTTCGAATTTCGAAAGCAGTTAGTACCATCTGCGGCTGTCGACAAACAGGGCGCGTCACAATTATTGTCAACCGAAATAGTTTACCGCACTTGTTAAAAAACTAATAATGCACACAGATGTTTATATATCGTGTTTTTATTCTGAATTACAGAATAGTATACAACAAAATTAGATGTACTATGTAGAATTTGTTTTGAATAAATAACCCATTACAAGAATACTTTGGGGTGCATCAAATTATTTTGAAAATGGGAAAACAAATAGTAACCAGGATTTTTTTTTAATTTGTAAGTAAATTGTCGTTAAAAATCTATGGATAACTAGCTGACCCGACAAACGTTAAAAAAGTTGTTTTGCCATGTTACATATTATTTCTAGGAAACATGTTTTTAGTTCAATAAAAATAACTACCTGCAATAATAAAAAATAGGGATTGATCGTAGAGTGATGAAAATTTGGGGTTGTATGTATTTTTGAATGCTGAATCATAAAAAAATAAAAACATTTTTTTTGGGATGGACACTCCTTATCACTTAGGCGTATGAAAAATAGATAGTAGCCGATTCTCAGACTTGCATAAAAAAATTCATAAGAATCGGTCGATCCGTTTCGGAGGAGTATGGGAACGAACATTGTGACACGAGAATTTTATATATTAGATAATATACTGTATTTCACTATGCTGTAGTATAGGTAATATAGACTATAGTCTGACTATAGACAAAACAATAGAATATGAGAATAGGCACTGGAAGCGAGCAACTATATAGTTATGATCAACATACAAGTTTTCATATGTATCGCATTAAATAACAAAAAATCATACTTAAGGTAAGGTAAACTATAATCTTGTACGTCAAAAACAGGTTTTTGTCATACTTCAAATTTCATGTGAGAAAGTCGACGCGTAATACAAAATTCAACCATAGACACTTCCAACGTATTTATATAATCTATGGACAAGACTAATGACAACAATTGGTCTCGGTACAGTGATGATTGATAACGGAAATCGACGAAATGTTCCCAGTAAAAATGTAATTTCCTTAGAATGTGTTAACAAGGTTTGAACAGTGACGGTTAAGTGCACGCAATGGCGGACAGATAACATCGGGGGGAGCTCCCTATCGACCTTAAGAAAACGCTATAAAAAATTAGCGTTGAAAATGGGAATCCTGTGAAGCGTAGAGGAATAAATATTGGTTTTATAATATACTAGCGTAATAACTGTGTGGTGGGGCGCGTCTAATTCACATAAATTAAATTGTTATTCGTTATTTTTTTTGTAAAATAACGATATATTGATTTATAAATGACCTCCCGTAAACCTTGTAAAATTAATTAATTTAATTAAGTAAGTTGTATTAATTAAACAAATGAATCATTCTAGACATTGGTGAAACCGCAATAATTTCCGTGCAGTAACGCAAACATAATAAAAATGTGTGTGGGGGGGGGCCCCCCCCCAAACCCCCCCCCAAAAAAAAAAAAATTGGGGGGGGGGGGGGGGGGGGGGGGGGGGGGGGGGGGGGGGAAAAAAACCCCCCCCCCGGGGCGCGGGGGGGGGGGCCCTAAATTTTTTTTTAAAATCCTAAATTTTAAAAAAAAAAAAGAAAAAAAAGGCAGGGGGGGCCCCGGGGTTTGTATAAATATATATATATATATATATATATATATATGTATCTCTTATCGCTAGCAGCGTTCGTAACAAAACTATTTTGTTCGACCGACTTCGCAAATTCTACTAGAAAGCCTTTTAATTTTTCGTTCGTATATAGGGAGTTTTTCCCAAAAAAAACCAAAAAAAACATTTTTTTTACCTCTTTATTATTAGTATACAAAACACAAAAATCTCAACTCAATGTTCCATCAAACAAAAGTATTAATTAATATTATTTATTAAAATTTCAATTGCAATTTTGTTTTATGATTAATAAATAAATATCTCCTTAATAAGTTCAGAAACCATTAAAAGTTCTTAAACATAAATCACAGTTGAGGGTAATTTTTCAAGTCGAAATAAATTTTCTAAGTAATCAGTTACAAGAATTACGCATCGACGAATATCTTATTGATCTTCAAAGACACGAATTGTAAGAGGCCCTATCAAATATTTGGTCAGATGGATGAAAATCGTCCAAGCAAGTAATTATTCTCGTTCGATTTGCCTATCTATTGAATTTCGATACTTTTCCAAGTCTACTATGCGGGACAGATTTATTGGCATAAACTCGAGATAGGATTTTAATTGTTTTATATATAATACATAACTAAATGAATTAAATATTACCACCGATGTAACCAGGTGCCCACTGATAACCGAACCAATTCGACTTAGGGTCCTTCAGGAAAATAGCTTACCAATTCTTAAAAGACCG